CTGCATACCGTATGTTTGTAAGACGTGCTGTTCCACCAACGTGCAGCCCGTGTTGTGACAGCTTGCATTTCCATCGCACAAGTGCGAGTTTAAGGCCAGCATTGAAAAGTGCAGGACTGAGCACATCACCCATTTTGGCTCCACGTTGGATTGAAAACTTCCTCCCAGCTTGCACTTGGCCCGTCTGTGGTCGATATAGTGCTGATAGCAAATTAGTGTAACATTGCGGAACTCCTTGGTCATGACGTGCTTCGAATGTGTTCTATTCTGTCAAAAGCCTTTCTCAAATCCAAGCTCGCGCACCACAGCGGGGTGTCCCATTCAATACCCTTCCCAACGCTTCTTGCGCGATTTGCTCCGAGTCCGGGCGCAACGAGCCCCGCCGGCCTTGCGCCCGGTGGCGCGAGCGGGCTGGACTCGTCGTTGGTGGGGCATGCTGAGCGTGGCCGTGCAATAGGTGGTCGCGAGTACGGCGCTAGGACGGGCTGCGCGTGGTGGAGTTCGCAGCCCCGGCAGGCTCCAGCCGCTTGCCGCTGCGCGCGTGAGCCCTCGCGCTCGGCGTGCGCTCGCGCAGCTGTAGCCTCGTAGGAGTGTAGGCAGTTAGCCTGTCTCCTGGGACAGGAGCCTGCTGTTGCAGTCGGAAAAAGATCCGCGGGTAAAGCGACATACTCTTCCCAATCCCAAGTTTTGAGCGAAAGCCAACTTGATCGGCGGGCGCACTGAGCATTTTCCAAAATGTCATGATTTTTTGCACCAAGTAGTTTTGCAAAAAATTCATACGTGCCAGTTGCTTGCCTGAGTTGATTCACTAGGATTAGGTAGCATCTTGAAAAGAGTATGTTGCCATGATGGCTCCAAGGATTCCTCGGGAAGCAAGCGGTTGTAAATCTCAAGCAGGCATTCGTGGAGCTCTTTGCCACCCAACTTGAACATTTCCAACAGCAGACCTGCATCACGCATGTGTTGCAATGCTTGTCTCGGTTCAGAAAGCTCTTTGTGGAAGGGCTAAAGTTTGGCCGTTTTTGGGCTAACATGACCCCGCCTGGGGTGGCTTCACTTTTTTTTCCGCACCTTTTTGATGTCCGCAAGGTCCAGGTCCCCGTGCAACCTGCGAACGACGGGCCCAAAAGGCTAGGCGCAGGAGGGGCTGCGTCGTGCAGCACGTCCGCGAGCGGCGGGCGCTGTGCGCCAGGAAGGGCGCCAGCAACGTACGGCGCTCCGAGCAGCGTGGCAGCAAGTGTGCTTTGCAGAGCCACGCTCAAGAAGCCCCACCAGCGGCGCAGCCAACCCTGCCTAGCCGCAGGTCGCAGGGCGGCAGGAGCGCACTGGGCTCGGAGGCGCATGAGTTCAGTGACGAGGCGAAGTGACTCTTCACTCCAACGTCCTCCAACTTCGCGCCCCGGCCGCAGCAGTTCAGGGTAGGCGACGCGCTTGCGCCTCTCTGAGACAGTGATAGCGGCGCCATCGCGAG